TGCAACCATCCCAGGGATCAGAGACAGAGTCTGGCAGACTAGAGCACACGAGAGAGCGCATGAACGTAGCAGGCCAGCGCACCCCGGGGCTTTCTTTTTCACCTTCGTCTAGCTATAAGAAAATCTTTCTATCGTGACGGACGAGTTTCTACGTATTTCGGCACACACTAGAACAAATCAAGGAGGAGAAAGGGGACGCGACGAGACCAGGGAGAAGCGAGCGACGAGGGCAGCCGCAGAGTGCCGAATATCAACCTGGGCCATTGCGGGACGAACCGGGGCGGATCGACCGCTGCATGAAAGCCCAGATCTCGTCGTGCCAGTTCGAGGGGGACCAGTGCCCCGCCCTCGTGTCGATGCATTCGATCACCTCGACACCCATCTCGCAGCCCGACCATTGGACACAGTGAATGGTGTCCGACGCGACCGGGTAGAAGCTGTGGCCCTCGCTGGCGTTGCGCAGGACGCCATTGCAGGGGTCGTAGCTTGGCGCCGCCGTGCAGCCCGACGCGGCGGCCCAAGCAGAGGTGGCGTTGCGCGCCGTCGAGTAAAAGTGACCCGTGTAAGCGGTGTCCAGGGCGGTATCGGCGCTGCCCGTGTGCGCGTCGACAACGCCTTGGGACCCGGGCCCGTTGTAGCAGGGCGGCATGGTGGTGTCGGAGTGTCCCCACACGGCCAAGAGCGGGACGGGCCCGTTGGGCAGGCCGCGCACAAAGCCCGCGTGGGGACTGCCGACGATCGGGAATATGCCGGCAAACTTGCCCGACGAGCGCGCGTCGTAGCCGAGCGTGAACTGGTAGGCGCCACCGTTGGAGACGCCTGTGCTGAAGACCCTGTCCTCGTCGATACAATGCCCCCCCACCACCTCGGCGAGCACTGCCAGCGTCTGTGCCACCGAGTCCTGGCACGTCGTCCACCAGCAGTTGTCGGCGCACGCGCCGCATGAATCCGAGTAGCAGAAGTCCTGGGTTTGGGGCAAACAAGTGGCTCCGAGTGCGGAACGGGGCGACTGCGTCGAGCCGGCGCCGTTCCACGACCTGCGGTTCCACCATTTGCCGTCTCTGTATCCCGAGATGGAGACGACCGCATAGCCCGAGACCTTTCCGTGCTGGTGAAACTCGCTGCCAGAGGGCGACGATCGCGACTCGCCCCAGCCGTGGTGGTGCATGAGAAGCGGTCCGGGCGTGCTCGGGTCATAGCTGTTCGGAAGCGAGAGTCGGTTCTCGACGGAAAGGAAAGACACGGTGGTACGGAGCGTGTAGTCCCTAACCTCTCCCGGACGGTGGTGGCCGGCGGTCTGGAGGCCGCAGCCGGAGGTTGGAGCGAGTGTGGCTACGAGCATAACTTAGCATGACCTAGCTGGCGACGGCTCCTCCTTGGCATCGCATTTTTCGTCGGTCTGACACGCTCTGATGATTTTTTAATTGTAAGAGGTGATCAAACAAAAAAACACAATGCCG